GAGGAGGAGAAGGAGAAGAAGAAGAAGAAGAAGAAGAAGAAGAAGAAGAAGAAGAAGAAGAAGAAGAAGAAGAAGAAGAAGAAGAAGAAGAAGAAGAAGGGAGGGCAGAAGAGAAGGGATAGTTGGGGACAGATGGGAAGGGAGGGAAGGAGAAAAAAGGCAAAGGCAAAGCTAGCCAGTGAAAGTCAGCCAATAGCCAGGTAGTGGTGGTGCACTCCATTAATCCCAGCACTGGGGAGGCAGAGGCAGGTGGATATCTGTGAGTTTGAGGCCAGCTTGGTCTGCAGAGTAAGTTCCAGCACAGCCAGGGCTACACAAAGAAACCATGTCTCAAAAAAAAAAAAAAAAAAGCCAATAACAAGATTTCTAAGTTAACCATTTCTTGAAGTAATTTTTTTTTTAGGTATAAATAAACTCTGTCTGTTCTCCTCCTCCCTCTAGGAAATTGAGACACTGCCTTGCTCCTTTATTTAATTTTGAATACATAAAGAGCGACTGAAAGAACACCCTGTCCCGTTTGCCCTGAATTCCACAGCAGCAGGAATCACTTTTGACTGAACATGCTCTCATATGCAGTCATTGATGTTCTCTGTGAGACAATCTCACCTGAAACTGAAATGCCTAATCAAATTTTTGTTTCTTTTATCTCCCAAAACATAAGAATATCACTTCTACTCTCTAGCAGAAAGTCTTAATAAACATCTTTGGAGTGAAAATACATTACTCTTAGGAAATAAAAGTTTTTTTAACAGACATTATAAATAATCACACATAAAATATTATTTTTTTCATATATGTCCATTGAATACTATAGTATGTGGTGGATAATCCTGAAAGTAATATTATTACTACTTATAAAAGGTAGTGAATAATAATTAGAGTACCTAAAAATAATGCAAATTTAGCGCAAATAATTTTAGTCAAAGCAGTACATTTTCCAGGAAGCATTTCAGGAAATCAATTAATTAAAAACCCATAAATTTGCCAAGATAATGCCATTCTCATCTGAGAATGCATGTTCATCAAGATATTTGTTTTTTTTTTTCTTTTAGAAAGAGACGATAAAAATACATTCTGAACTTCTAAGCTATTTCACACTATTTTTTACTTAATATTTGTAGCAACAATGTCAGTTTTGCCTAGGACTGGGAGTATTCTGTTTCTGGCTTGATGTGCTCAATTTCATTGTTTTTTTTTTTTTTTAATCTTTTTCTGGAGAACAAGAAACCTTCCCTTGGTCTCTTCCTATTCAAAGAGCTGCCAATATTCTGCAATCACAATTCTTCAGCAGGCAAGTCCACAAAGGGCCTTCTGCTTCTGTTAAACTAGAAACCAAAAGAACATTCAGAAGGTGAAAATGTCTCTTGTTTTTTTGCTAGTTTGAGGAGGTAATTGGGCAGAAGTGAGAGGAGGAGGGGATGACTGAGTCCTTTAGAGTCTTGAACAACTTCCCACCTTTCCCTCCTACTCTTGTCCACTGCAGTGGAGTTACCTTTTCATTTATTTCAAAACAGGTGGATTTTGGAAATAAAAACTCTGCTAAGCTTTTAATTTTCTTTTTGTTATTGAGTTTGTTACTGTACTTTATAAACTGATATATATTTTTCATATCTTATTTTGAAAAATCTCTAGTTTTTCTGATAGTGAATTGGAAAGATGCCTCTTTGAAAGATTTTGCTATGAGGTTTAGGTTTTAAAACCTTATGGTTATTCTACATATGGAAACATATGGCGTGTTTAGAAGCATATGTTTAGGAAAATATTTGTGATAGTTTGTTCATAAAGCTGTAAGTTAAATCACAATGTATAAAATTTATCTTCAAAAGAAAAATAAAGTTAAAGTGAGGTGGTTGCCACAATGGTATAATGAAAAGAGACTATAAATTTGAGAAAAATAAAATAAAAAAATTTCCCTGTTAAGTAAGAGTAATATAAATATATTGGGACAATATGTCCAAATATATTCTATGCATTTGTTGCAATCTCCTACTGAAACCCTTAACTTTGTACAAATAATAACAATATATGTTAGTAAAAAGGAAACAACTTTCGTCAGAGTTATGACTATGGATAATAAACTGTATCACAGGTAGTCATTCTGTTGGTGTGTATTTCAACAAAATAGAGGCAAATAATAGAGCAGTATGGCCTGCAAAATATATTATATATGGAAACAGTGTATTTTATCCTGATTGAACATGAAATGCTATTATTTAAATATTATACTCTATAGTACCATTTTTCAAGATTTTAATATCATATTTCAATATTTTAAAAAATGAAATATCATTTATTATGAAGCTAATGAATGAATTTACTACTTTCTATTAAGAGGTAGAAAGTCCCCTTCTTTTTCTACTGACAAAATAAAGGGACTCATTGGCGATGATGGGTGGATGGTCCTTTGTCCAGGACAATGGTACTTGCAGTTTCAAACTGATGAACCCCATCTGATGATAGTGTAAAAATCTGCATTACCACAGAGAGAAGTAATGAGCGTGATTATTCAATTACAAAAGGGTTCTCATATAAAATCATTCACCACAGAGTATCTTTAAATAGCATATTTCCCTTGTGAATATAAATCTTTCAGCGATCATTAGCTGCTTAAAAGAGACTGGGGGACAGAGACTCTTAAAATTGACATGTTAAGCCACTACTAATTAGAAATCAATCAAAAATGAAGGGAGCACTTCTTTGAAATTATGATGATTCAATTTACCCACAGATCTGCAGGAGCATACTTAGTTGGTAGAGTGAAGTTTGACTGGAATGCTAAGTGTTTTAACATTATACTGTAAAATACTGGTATCCCCTTTTCATAATCACATTCAAGCACAAGTTATTTTTCATGGAGAGTCTGCATATAATTTAGGAGTTCTCATTTATTTAGCCAAAATTCAAGAGGAAATTTATGGATGAACATCTTTCTCTATACTCAAATTCTAAATGATGTGAGTCTTTTTATAGTCTTTTTAATGGACATCAGTCACATGGGGCATGCTCTTTTTCTGAAATCTCTTTCGATATTCTATACCAGAATGTCCTTTGATGGGTTTATTTCTCATAAATTGGCATTTACTTTGCAAATA